AAAACCAGATTATTAAAAGCTTGTAAGATCTTCGGATTAGTGGACATATCTCAACTACACTTTATGATATCCTTAAGCCGGGTGGCACGAATGTCCCGAGGCTTTATGGGTTACCGAAAATTCATAAGACAGATGTCCTGCTTCGCCCGATCTTTTCAATGGTTAACTCACCCTACCATACCGTCGCCCATACCATACCGTTGCTTGTGGAAATTCTAGAGCCAGTAAGACAGCGACTTACACACTACAACCTTCGTGACACCTTGCATTTCATCGAAAGCAATCAAATACCGCAACATCGGTAAAAAAGTAATGTTTTCCTTAGATGTTGTATCGCTTTTCATCGACGTGTCACTTCTCGAGACTATCGATTACGTTTGATCCTACCTAGAAGAAACAAAAACAAGTATATGCATACCACTGCATGACTCGAAAAGCCTCCTTTTGCGTTGCACTTGGAGTGGCACTTACTACCGACAAAAGGATGGTGTAGCTATGGGATCGTCATTGTGTCCGTTGTTAGCTGATGTCTTCGTGTCGAAATTAGAGAATACATGCGGAGATCACAGCCTTTGAAAGTTACCACCGCTATATGGACGACATATTTGTCGTGGTCGACCAGTCTGTTGACCTTGACGCTGTTATTGACCGTTTTAATCGGGCCCACACATCATTGCAGTTTACCTACGAAAAAGAATTGAACGATCAGTTGCCGTTTCTTGATGTGCTGTTAAGTAGAAGGGCAGACGGCTCGATCCAACAGCAGGTCTACAGGAAGAAAACCTGGAGTGGCCAGTATACGAACTTTCACAGTTTCGTTCCGTTGAGATATAAGCGATGCGCTGTCTTATCACAAGGGCCCGCAGGATTTGTTCTGAAAACAAGTTGGATAATGAGTTGACATTCATTCAGAATTTGCTGCGCGAAAACGGATATCTTGATCGTTTCATGCTTAGTAACATACAAAATAAGCCCGACCTGTTGCAGGTTCAGACAGCAGAGAAAAAAGAACTTTTCATACGACTACCCTTCAAGGAAGATGCAGCTGCTGAGCGTGTAACTAGAAGCCCTACAACAGCTGTCAAGTCAAGTTTCCCAGCAGCCAAGCTTAAGTGTACCTTTTCAACGGAGCCACTCATTCGTATTCACAAAAAAGACAAGTTACCGACGCCGACCGCTTCTATGGTAATTTATCAGTTCGAGTGCGCCTGTGGCGCTACTTGCCATCGGTCGAACGGCGCGGCAATTGTCGAAGCGCATTAAGGAGCGCCTACCACGCTGGTTGCGTCGAGGCGGTACTGGGGCTATAACTTGCTCTGTTATGGCTCATCTTGTTGATAGTGGGCACGAAGTTGACCCCATCAGTGCCTTTCGAATACAATACAAGGTCCCTCCACTTCAGTCGAAAGACCTGCGTCTCCGCACCCTTGCTACTGCCGAGGCGAACAGCATTCGATTGTATCAACCGCTTTTGTGTGCATAAAAGAAGCTGATCGAAGCTGTTAAGCCAAAACAGATCCTTCTGAGAGCAACTGTAATTGTGCAATTGCACCTCTGTCCTAGTTTGCCGTTTGTTACTGGTCCATGCCTTTGGTCGGTACGTGATCAATCTCATTTGAACTGATCGTTAATCCACTTTTACGCTCATTGTTATTTCACTCATATGATTGTACGGGTCTGAAGATGAATGATCGAAAACAATTGTTTACTTTCGGTCTTTTGTTCTTGTTAATTGACTTAGAGTATCATCGTCAACTCTGAGGTTATCGATGCAGCGGCCAAAATTGTTCTAATTTAGACCAAATGCAATTAGTTTCAATCGCGAATCAAACTTGAGGAATCTATCCCGCTGCAAAGGAAATTCCACTCTTTGAATTTATAGATCGACGATTAGTCTTAAGCACATAAGCGTATCCACGAACAGTCACAGTTCACCGAGCGCTGGTCAGATTCTTCATTTATATATCCTGCATATACATGCAGCTTCACTCATTTCGTCCTTTGTCGTCCACTAATGCTCTGTTCTATTTTGACATTTATATGTTTTAAAATGAAATATTAACTCATTGTTGTATTACTGGATTTCTTTGATCGACCACTGAGTGTGCACACGTTTGTATTGCATAACGGTCAGTTCGCTCTATCGACTTAAAATCAGTTTCATCTCCAGGGCCATTGCTAATTTATCACCCAGGCAAGCATGAATAGGTGCATCGCCAAAGCATGCTTACTTCTGATTTCTCTCAATCTCGGCTAGCTCTTCATATATACCACTTCTTATGGAACTGATGCGAAATACCCATAAACATCTGATGATTTGCATGCTGATCACTCGGTCAACCCTATTTTTTCGATAATTGTGAAATTGTAAATAATACCCATAGACAAAACAGTCAATATAAGGACTCAAGGATTCGAAGAGATTTCTCTACAATACTTCACATCAGGCAACTTCAGTTATGTACTGCTCAAGAATTGGATTTTACCTGCTCCTTTGCTCACTCTCGAAGGTACACAACTTGAGCAGGTAGATAGTTTCGTCTAGGTTAGGATCTGTGTTTCTGCTGATGACACTATCAGCAAATAAGTTTTTCTTCGCAACGGTAAAACTCGATAAGCATTTGTCAATCTAAGGCACTTGTGGCGTTGTCGTGACGTCTCGTTCTCGCTAAATGGCCGCGTTTACAGCGCCTCTGTTCGCTCAGTGTTGTGTGTGAGCGAGTCCTAGCCGATTCGCTTGGAAGACACGCGTCATCGTTCTGCCTTCGATAACGGTTGCTTAAAGAGGATCGCTCGTGTTTGGTGGCAACATCGAGTTAATAGTAATGACGTTCGACGTCGCCTCTTGGGGAATGCGAGTATTCTCTTCAACAAGCTGGTTTTGCTACGACAGTTGTGATTGCTCGGTCACGTCCTACGCATGGCACCTGAGCGTCTACCACTTCGCGCTCTTTTCGCTCGTCAAGGGCCTGGCTGGTGGCGACCGCGTAATGGTCAGCCTTTTACATGGCGACAGCACATGAAATCGCTGACGTCGTGCCTAGCCGCTGTTAGATCCGTACGTCTTCCAGGATGGGGACCCAAAGATGAGGGGTGCGAATGGCTTCACACTTGAAGACATGGCCCGCAACCGGAATCAGTGGAAGCATTGTTTACAGTATTGTATTGATTAACATGTTTAATCCTTTAAACATTGAAAAACAAGCGAAAAATGTTCTGTCCCATGTTTTGTCAAAATACTCTTTTCTTCCTGCGGTATATTAGCTGAAGTTTGTTGCTCACCTTCAACTACTATGCCACGATGATTATGGCGCGATGACTATCCCTTATCCGCTAATCTACATGGTTTTCTGTGGGCTCTGTGTTTAGTTGCTCGACTGCTTAGATTACGTACATACATACAAATGCAGTTATACGAATGAAAAAATGAAAAAACCACTTCAACGCAGTAATTCAGTGAAGGCCGGACTGCGAATAGGTGACTCGGAAGCATATGAATGTTGCAGCCACATTCGATCGATATTCCTGTTGATCTACTGAAGACAGACTTTACAGCAACCGATGTTGCGAAGAAGATTGCACTTGGCCACTCCCATTGTCCGACGCTGAGAAGTTGGCGCTTGGCCATGGCATGAAAAGCGCTTACACAATAACCTTTTGTTTGCACAACTGTGGCTGCATTACTCTGATGACAATAGCCTCAGTCGTCCTCAGGAGCCGTTTTCTAAGCATTTTGGTGTATCTGTTTGGCACTGTAGAAGGCTTTAAATGAGTCGGCTGGTCGGATTTCGTGTTCACTTTTGTATAACTGCGTCATGATAGCACTGTCAAATCCTCCGACCAAGCCCTTTCTTAGGTACCTCAAGCGCGACATTCTTCGCGCCATCGGTTGCTGTAACTCTTGTCTTCATTTGATCGACTGGAATATGGATCGGATGTGGCAGCACCGTTCAGATGCTCCCTAGTCACCCATTCTCAGTCCGGTCTTCACTGGCATACTGCGTTGCGTTGTTCTTTCTTGTAACTGCATTTGCCTGATGAAAAGTATTGAAATGAGATCTCTTTGAAACCTAGAATTGTGAAATTGTACATATTAATCCCATCATTTTCACATTATCTGTACCTCCTTTATTGTGGGGCAGAGCTGTTTCCTATCTGAATCTTCAGTTAACTTGCAGTTTTATCACGGCGGTCAAATCGCTTGCGTTCAATGCATAAACCTATCGCTTAGAATCCGGTCACTTTATTCATCTTCCTTCTGTGCACTCGCACCGGCTGTTTTCATTTGCAACAGACTGAGAAAATTGCTAGAATTGCTTTTAAAAAATTATGACGTCGTCTTTTACTTTGATTCATCATTCAATAAAACTTACAGGACGTGTTGTGTTTTTGTCTCTGTGTATTACCTTAGTTTCAGGATCGCGCCAGCTTGGAACATACCCGGAAACACCAGTCCGCCTTGTAGATTCTGTATCCTCGCTCGGACCAGACCGGGTCCCTTTAGACTACATTCGTTCATAAGGCTATAGTAAAATAACGTGAATACTAATGTGTCAGCTACGCCGTAACGTTGCTTCGCTGCCGTGCGACCACCACTTGTCGCGCGTGGGCTGAGTATACCATGAGGACGCCCGCCTCTACGCGGATTCGAACCGGCCACCTTATGATTGCAAGCCAGGCGTGCAGACCACCCGGCCATCGGCCGACGATCATATTAAACGAAGATCTACTGTTAAAGTTATGGTAGGTTTAAGCACAAGGGACCAACAACTTTGAGAATAAAGTGAAATTACATGAAATTTTGGCAACTAAAGTGACGAGATAAATGCGAGACAAAATGGACATTTGCACCTTTCGTGCTACTTCGTTGCCATTTTTTTACTAAATAGGCTACAGGCTTCCCACTGAACTGTGGCCTTTGATATAGCTTCCCATCTTGTCTGTTCTTCTGATATTTTATTTGAATATGCAACAATAGTACTGCTGATATTTTCTTGCAGTTTGTCTCTGTTGCATTCTGCGACCGTCACAGCAGGCGTTTCGCTGCTGGTGAATTTGTGGATTCGTTACATTTGGCTAATCTTGAAACGGCACTTATTCAACTGGAATCCAGGGAGTGTCTTGTGCCTGCCGGCTTGTTAAGCAAACCAAATTTGGGAGACAAACCTACTGGAAGTAAGGCCTCGGATTGTACGCTACTTGAACACTTGTCTATTATATTCGAGAGAGCTGGTGTCTTGGTCACCGAAGTTGAAAAGGGTACGTTAACTGACGTTTTTTCCTTTGGTCCATTCAACTTTACCTTGGAATTTAAAGTTTTAAAGGCACCAGGCCTTGGCACATTATGCTTTATGTTCTTTGCTCAGCAATACTCTTGTTCAAACGACTGAGCTTGGTGGGCACACATTATCTATCTAAACACTTTTCCTTGGTAGACACATCTCGACCGAGATCTGTGCCGGCAGCAGAACGCTCTTAGTGGACATTAACTAACGGTTAGCGTGTAATGTAAAACAGATAAATTACTTATCGTTTGTAGTTGTTTCTCTCGATATATGATGAGGACACATCGTAAGCATCTCCTTCTACGAAAGGCCATGATGTCCGATTAACAATACTGCAATGTGGTGAATGCACTTCACTACTGACTATTCACTACCCCTTTCTTCTCTTGAATGAATCACTATTTTAGCAATTTCATTCTAAACTTTCTGAAAGGATTGGATACCTGCTGGACTTCCCACCCAAATATTTGCGCATGAACTGACTGATCGGTCATCGGCTCTAATGCGTGTGCTCCGCTACCTAATTTTACTGACTCGCGGGTAGGCAATAAATCCGAGTCACTGATTGTAAGCGACGAATTCGTTTGGGGCTCGAGTTGACGAGTAGAAACCTCCGGGGTCAACCAAGAAAGGAAGCCGAGACGTTAACTACGGTACTATTCAACTAGAAATTCAACTACACTAAGGCATACCTCAACAGAAACAAAGCGTAACAGTATTTTCGTTCCGTGTTGCCATTGCGATTGTTTTTTCGTTTTATTTTTTCTTACCACCACTTAGTTGAATTCTGTTGCGACAGAATAATTGGAATGTTTCTCGTCCTTAGCTGTTGTGGTATGAACGAATGAATGCCTGTCGCGACAACAAACGCGCAGAATCCGACGTAAGCTTAATAATGAGATCCTTCAAGCTAATGGATCTTCTTTGTGTAGTATCCATGTTTCGCTGCCTAAGTGTAGAGCCGAAAACATCATGGAATTGTACACCACAGCTTGGTCCCAACAGTCAGTTTTCGGGCCTAGTGTCCCAGCTTGCCAAATGCAGCACCCATTCGATGCGCGGATGTACAGCTCGCTGTTCATCTGCAAATCTGTTGATAGCATGCTCTCGAGGCAGCAAATTTTGACAAGTTCTCCAGAACTTGCTCAACAATCTAGGTTTGTGTGCATCATACGAATTCCACACCTGCTGAGGGCTGCAAAAGACAGGCATTTTGAACCAATTGATGGTAACTCCGAACTTGGCAACCGTCAAAGCGAAAACCGTTGTCAAACATTTTAGCTCATAATCGCTTTGTGCAGACAGCGCAGTCATTTGGAAACAACGGTATCCGGACGGTTGTCTTGTGTATTCGGTTTCTTGCCAGGAAACGCTTTATGTTCAGCAACTCATCATCCATATAGTACTTGAGACGGATACCGTAGTCACCATCAGTAGAAGCTCTAGACGTCATGGCAGTATGATAAATATCAAATGGAGTAGGGACTACGATATAGTCTTGCTTAACACCAGTGCTAACATCAAATTCATCCGGGGTTTGTCCACTCAGCTGTTCCCTCGCCAGCACACTACTGTGCAGGCATTCTACTAGATCGACAAACTTACTTAGGAACCAAACTTATCCAACACTGGGCCATACTGATCTTCAGCAAAGCAAATATTCCCATTGGTGTGATCGAATCCAGACCAGATGAGTGTTGAGTTAAGAATTCTTTTCGAGTAAACTCTCATCGGACCCAAACTTTTGCATGGTAGAGGTTACGTGTTATTGGCGTCAAAACAGGCTGAAAGTTGATTTCTGGGTTGTTCGAATAGTCAATCGATAGGCTTAGCCTACCCTTCTTCGCCTCACTATGGAAAGAGAATCTCGGATTAGGGAAGAACAGGCAGGTTTCCGCCCAGGACTTGGCTGTATAGTCCGCAAATTCACTCTGCGGCAGGTGCTAGAGGAGCGCCACCCATACCTCAGACCGACAATAGCTGTATTCCTCGATTTCAAGAGTGTGTTCGATTCTGTTCGAAATACTTGCGCGGAAAGGGGTTCCCATGAAACATACGAACATTTTACATGCTCTATACTCGAACACGACAGGCCGCGTCAGAGTCTACGGTGATTTGTCGTCTGCCTTTCCGAAAACAAGTGGCATCCGTCAGGGTTGCACAATTTCCCATTTTTGTTCAACTTCGTCGTGGACTCCATCATGGATTGTTGCTTTGCGGAGCCTCACGATGCAGACGTTGAGGTGCTGCCTGGTGAAAACCTGGTTGATCTTGATTGACGATGTTTCGCCTGCGCAACCAACCCTGAATAACCGCTCTAGGATGGTCCCATCATTTGGCATGCGCTTCGCACCTTCTAAACACAATGTACTGCTGCAGGTCCACCAGCCACTTTATGACCCCTTTGACCCTTGATGGCGAGGAACTCGAGGTAGTCGATCAATTCACATACCTTGGCAGTTGTATTAGCAATTATGGACACATAGTAGCTAAAGTCAGTTCACACATTGCAAAAGCTAGAAGTGGTTTTTAGAATCTGTGACGCCAGAAAGGAGTTTCCCTCTGTCTAAACGGCCGTGTTCGCAAAGGTACAGTGAGAGTCGTCCTACTCTATGGTAGCGAGACTTGGCCCCTCCGATCTCAGGACTTACGACGCCTTCAAGTCTTTGAACATTGTTGCCTGCGAAGCATTACTGGTGTCAGATGTCACCAGCTTGTCCGCATCGATGATGTACGTAGGCCAGTACAAAGTAGAGATAATCATGCCAGCTCCCTAGGACAATAGATAACACTGAATAAGTTGCGTTGGTTTGCCCACGTGGTACGTATGCCTGGTCACCGCTTACCTAGGAGGGCCTTGTTTAGTCTGCCAGATGTAGGATAGCGCAATGGTCGAGGTGGACAGAACTTGGTTTGGCAGCGGGAAATGAAGTCAGTGACGACCAAAATTGGTGAGGTTGGTACTTCTCGCCTTCCGGACTGCAGTCCGCATGACTCGCCTTGTGCTTGGCTCGCGACTTTACAATATATGGCTTGCAACCGACACCAGTGACGCATCTGCTGCCGTCTCCTAGTCGGCTTTTCTGTTTGATGTGTGTTTGGTGCTGAGTTATCTGCAGGGTAATGACTGGTTATGACGCGTGACAGTGAAAGTCGCAAGGAAGCTGTCTCGCCGATGCCGCCTTATCTTTGTACGATAGCCAGCTGTTTGTGACAGTATGTTGTTAACACAAGATGTAAGCGCCCTGACTCGGAATGTTTGCTTAGGGCATTAAGGTTTTCAGGTAAGTCCCCCTTCCCTCACTCTTATTATTCTTTATTTCATAGGTCATTATGATTGTATGGCAGTGAAGCATCAGTTCAAATAACTGATATACTCCTGTTGATGATGTGATGATGATGACTTCTACAATTATCGAGCTGCGAGCACCATATCTATTGTGCTGCTGCCCGGACGGAAACCACACTGCTCTTCAGTCACGTTTGTTCCAAGGACGGGAGTGACGATTGACATAGCTGCATCTGAGCAATTTACTTTCCGACGCAGCTCAGCAAGTTGATGCCATGATTATCATAGGTACCTTGCTTTCTTTGCCCTTGAACAGTATGGTAACACAAGGGCGTCTTTCCGCTCAGACGGCACCTGTTCTTCAGGTTCTTGCAGGTTTGCCATTTTTCGGCATTTTCGGGATATCCTACCGGCACCAGTGCAATTGCCGTTCCGCAACTGAGCGAGTACTACTGTGTTTCGTGGAGTGCCAGAGTGTTGATGTGGTTGTCCTTCACATTTTGTTGTTACAGCCCGTGCAGTGTGTTCTTGTCAATATCGGAATTATTGTTCAGGAGACAGTCGATGTGATTTCACCGCCTCTCTCTGATCTCTGCAGTCTGGGTGCGTGCCGCATCAGCGGCCGCAGAGCGGGCCCATATTTTGCATTCAAGGGGTCATTGAACTCCGTATGCTGGTGGCCTTCGGCGTAGCATTCCATTTGCTCCGTCTTCTCTGCCCACCATCCACTCCTTATGCGGTAGTCGGCTCTTCAATCAAGTGGCAATTCAGACTGTCGAATAACGCAACTTCAACCTCATGTTCACCTAGTACTGTGGTGGCATTTCCCATTCCTTAGGACGTGTTGCCTGCACCGTCCTCGGGTAGCATGCCTTGGTCAGCCAGCCGAGTGTCACTGAATGCGGCCGTATCAATACCGTGGCGCTTGAGTTCTCTGGCGACCAGGGCACTGTTTTTCTCGGGGCGCTCATTCGTATTCCCATCTAGTAATATGCGAACTTTGCAGCATTTGATTTTGGTTGCTGATTTGCTCTGTGGGTTAGGGCAGGTAGGGTGGATCAGGTGAAATGGGGACTGGTAAAAGCGAATGTGAAGTGAAAGGGAAGAAGAAAGACGAGAGGCACCAGTAGTAGCATATTTTCGTTTGTCCACCCAACTGTATGCAGCAGATGAGGTGACAGTTTCCCCTACGTAATGGCCGGTGCAGTATGAGGTTATTAATGAGTATGTGATTCATGGGTTATGGTTGGGCTGATATGCTGCCAGGCTGCCCACACTTAAACAGGAGAACGGTTCGTCCTCAGCCACAGCCTTCAATAACTATAATCCCGAAATGCAGCGGTAAATGCGCCATGAGTCAGACGATATATATATATATATATATATATATATATATATATATATATATATATATATATATATATATATGTGCGGGGAGAGCCTATGGTGCGCTGACAGATGGTCTACCCACTTCTGCTACTGCTGCGCCATAGTCTCATGTCCTGGGCGCCTCCACGTGGCGACCGCTGGGTGGGAGTTAGGTTTCGCCCTTCTCCCTGCTAAGATCCAGGACACCAATCGGCATGAGTCAGCTAACTGTCCATGTGCTAGACCCGCTGCCTTTCGGGTGTTTATTTAATCGAAGGCTTTGGCTGAGGACCCGAGTCGTTCTCCTGTCAGGATTG